AAGCAGGAAGCAAGTATTTTCCTTACATTTCTGTAAGAGACCTTCAGGTTGGTAGCCACAAGTACCAAAGCGTGGTCATGCATTTGTACTAGAAGATAGCTTTCTCTGTAAATTTTGCATTTCAGTTTCAGGATTTACAATGGAATGGATTTTTTTAAAATATTATTTGGCTTGTGGCATTGGAATGAATAGAAACTAGGCAGGCTCAGGGTTGATCTAGTAAGGAGACTTAACTACCATTCTGGTTGAAGATCACCGTGTGACCCGTGTGGATCCACACGCTCTTCCAGTGGGTCCCAGTACCCGAACAGTCCCAGACTTCCTGGGGAACTGCAGATGTAGGTTTCTCCACCTGTAGAATGGGAACTTATTTCAGTTGGGTTCTTTGAATACAAAGTTCTTCAGAAGTGAATCACATTCAGAATGTTGCCATTGTCCCTCTAGGTAAGATGTGATAGAGAAACAACTTTCCCCTCTGCCGAGGTCTCTGTTTATGACTTGTCCATAGGTCCACGCTCAGCCTAACCTTTGACTTGAGCCCGAGAGGCAGGCAGCATCACGTCTTTAAACAAACGGTGCCTGTTTTCTCCAGAATTCATGTCGTTCGTAAACATTGTTGTAAACATTGTTATCTGGCCACTTGAGACCCTGAGTTGAATGTAAATCCTTAGGACAACTGTTCCTGACTTCAGATGAGAGGGTTCTTCCAGGAGAGTAAACCTGAGCACATGAGCTAATGTTTGGAATCTTCTGGCTACTTCCATTGACCTCTGTCCTCTTAGATACCTGTGGACTCCCATCGCACGGGTCTCCTGCAAAGAACTCCCATGCGGGTGATAGGCTTGTTGAGTCCAGAGACAGACAGCCTTCTTATCCAAAGGTCATTGCCAGGAGACATGGCAGAGCTTCTCTAGGGGCCAGTCCCATGCATCTCTCTTGGCCCAGAGCAGGGAGAGGATGTGTGGGAGGAGAGCCTTCACTTCCTCGCTCCTCAGTGGGAGCTGTCTGAGGCTCAAGGCTACATGAGTCTTGTGTAATAGCATCATCTGCGTGTATAATATTCATCAAGGATCTACAATAGGCCTGGCCCAGAACGAAAGAAGCATCTATACACGCCATGATTTCTACCCCTGAGGAAATGACATTTGAAGTGGAGAAGTTGACATCTCGCGCACATTGAATTGTTTCATAGGATAAGTCCGTTTGCCCTTCAGTTTCTATCTTATGGAAGATAATAACTAGGGGAGATAATAAAGCTGACACTTAAGCTACACTTGAGCAGGAATAAAGAGATCATGGTTTGGTGTTTTGAAAACAGCCCTGAATGAAAATGTGTGTAATTGGCCCAAGACACACCTGACTGAAGGCTCCTTGGATTTGGTTTGGTTTGGTTTGGTTTGGTTTAGTTTGGTTTGGTTTGGTTTCATTTAATTAACTTCACTCCCCAAGTCCTGGGAGTTTCTTCTCCAAAAACCTGCCCCAGACCTTTCTTGACTTGTACTCCCAGGAGGTGGCCCCTTTCGTTAGTGTGTTCTGTACAACATAGACTCAGTTACCGCCTGTAGTGTAGGGAGAATTCTGCTGCCAGAGGAAAGGTCTAGGGGAGCATTGCCTTCTAGAAAGACGGGTAGGCTACAAATCTTGTTGGTCACATTAGCCAGGCTCCACATTTCCCCATAACTGTGTTTTGACATACATTCTTCAAGTGACATTCCAATCCTGAACCCAACTCTTTCCTTGTTCCTACCTGGCTGAGAGCTGCTCTTGGCACTCTCCTGGGCACAGAAGAAATGAGGCAGTTGTCCTGCCTTGCATTCTGGGAGAACCTTTGAATTTCTATCATGCTCCAAGGAATTTGCTAAAGAAACAACATTCTTGGGACACACATGTCCTGAAATCTTCCATACCTTTTTCCTTTCTTCTTGGACATTTGTTACCCATCTGTATGAATGCTTGACCCCTGCCCTGGCTCTTGGCCCATTTGAAGTCCTGAAGTCCTTTTGTTTTGTTTTATTTTATTTTGCTAATTTGCTTCTGATCAAGAAAGATTTGTCCAAAGTTGACTTGTGAGCCAAGTTGAATTCTAGTTCCTTCAACAAATATTTATTGTGCATCTACTGTGTTTTAGGCACTGTGGGGAGGATACAGTGCAGAACAAGATCAGTAGAACTCCTGCCTTCAAGGAGTTCCCTGTTTAGTGAAAAGAGACAAGAAAACAGGAAGTTATGGGTGATATCTGAGATGACATTTAAGGTTAGGTAGAAGTTAGGCAAAGGGTACAAGGTTTAGGGTTAGGGCAATTTACTGGCAATGTTGCTGCAGAATATTGCCATTTGAAGGTGGGATTCTATCCCAAAGGGATTGTATTAGGATTATATCTGATGGCAGATATTAGAAAATTCAAATTATATTGGTTTAATTTTGCAAAAGTTTCATTTTTCTTATATAACATAATGTATAGGGGTAGGAAGTCCATGATTAGTATGATGTTATCATGATGCCATCAGGAGGAACCCAGGCTCTTTCTGCTTTGCTGATTAGCTTTCATCCTCAATTTTGTCACCTATTGGTCCCAAAATGGCTGCTCAAACTCCAGCATCACTTCTAAGTTCCAGGCAGAAATAAGTTCAGGGTAGGAAGAACTGGCAGGAAAAGCAAATCGACACTGTGCAAATTGAGACTTTTGCTTTAAAAAGCTTTCTGGGAGGCCTTACCCACTAAATCCTGCTTCTACCTCATTGTCCAGTATTGTGTTATATGGCCACCCATCTGTGAGAGAGGCTAAGGTGCATTACCACCGTGAACTAAACAGTTTCTGTTCAAAGGAAGAAGAGAAGATCAGATCTTGGGTGCCTAACCCGCAGTTTTTGCAGGAGTGACATAAGCAACAACAACAAAACAATTCCTTCATTTTCATGTTGCATTCATATCCCTTAATGAATTTTATGCAAGGAGGTAAAAGGACAAGCATCCTTCTTTTGTCATCGAGACCTGGAGAGGCACTCTGACATACCCAACATTATCAGAAATACAATCTAGCACACTGTGAAACCCATAGCCTTTTTTTAGACACCATGCTCTTCCTGAGCCATGATCTATCCAGCAGATCCTGGACCCTGGAGAATAGCATGTCCCAGGACTCCATGAAACTCCATACTCAGGAAAAGGCTGTAACATTTCATGTCCCGAACGGCGCAGGAGGAAAGAAGAGAAAAACAAATCCTCCTGGAGATTGGCGCTGAGCTGCCGGCTGGGCTCATTCACTGTTGCGAGTGGTTATTATTCATTATTATCATTATTAATGATAATTTTTATAATGATAACTGACACTCATTGAGCCTTATGCTCTTAATAGGCATCTCTTTCCACCTTCCTAACAACACTGTGAGTAAGCACTATTAGTATTGTCTTCTTACCGCAGAAGACGAGACAGCGGTTCAGAGAGGTTAAACAACATGCCCAGCGTCACACAGCTAGTATGCGGCAGAGCTAGGGGTCAAAGTCGTCTGACTCCAGCAGCTAAATACCCAACCTCACTTCCTTCGTACTGTTCCTTCGCTGTACTTCCTTTTCACCCGCCCTGACTCACTCTTGCATACCAGGCTTACAGGGACTGGAATTCAAACGAGAGCCTCAACGAGACTGTAAATGAATACATGTCATGCTTTATCAGGATGGCTTATCTCTGACCAAAATCATGGGAGTTAAACCCGGACGTTCTGAGGTTCTACTGTGCTTACGCTCTTTCAGCCCTGCCTCAGGTAAACGCGCGGCTCTGAGGCCAAATTCCTGTCTGCTGCCGCTCACCGCGTCGGGTCTCACCTCACCAACTTCTCCCTGGTCTTCCACCCGGTCAGTCGAGTTTGCTGGAATTGCCTGGGTGTGTTAGCAGAACTAACCCTTTAAGCCGTTTCTGTTAAGATTGAGGCCTTGAGCCACAAAGACCCAAATGGATTCTAGCCCTCTTTTTGTTTAAAAGAAAAAAAAAAAAAATATGTTATTTATTTGTTTGTCAGAGGGAGAGAGAGAGAGAGCGAGAGAGCACAAGCAGGGGGAGCAAGGCACAGAAGGAGAAGCAGGCTCCCCGCTGAGTAAGGAGCCCGATGTGGGACCCGATCCCAGGACCCTGGGATCATGACCTGAGCCAGAGGCAGATGCTTAACTGACTGAGCCACCCAGGCATCCCAGATTCTAGTGCTCTTGAAGATGGGGGAGAAGGTGGGGAGTCCCGGGAGCTTCTGGGGTATCACAGAGCTTAGGCATGCAAAGAAGTCCTAATGGGACAAAGACTGAGTGTCTCCATAAAGGGAGTTGTCTTCTCTCAACTAGAAATGCACGACAGGGGCTGCAGATCTGTGTCTAATGGGTCAGGCATGAAGAGAGCTCCACTTCAGAAAGGAGGCAGCTAGCCTCGGGGGATTACATGGACTGCCCAGCCTCCTACAGCTGGTACCAGAGCTTAGTTCAGCCTCTCAGGGGAGGAAGAGGAACAGAGAGACTTCCCGTCACGTAGAACCGGAACCTGAACCTGAACCTGGTTCCGGCAGAAGTCCAGGTGTGTCTGTCACGGCTCTCCGCTATTCTCAAAGAGAGCGACTCAGCCATAACCTTGTAAAGGGCTGGTTGTCCAAGGGAATAGAGAAGCTGTCACTTCTCTTAAGGGCTGCCAGTGTCATCAGGACAGGGACAGGTAAAACCACCTAAAGGCGTGTTCTAAATATACACTCAGGGACGGAGTCGGTTCGTGTTTAACCCTCCTTTGTCTCAGTATCTGGAGCCTCACTTCGAGCTCCGATCTCCAGGCTGTGTGCCAGGATGCTAATTTCTTACAGTGTCTTCCTCTAGCAAAGCAGGGGACAGCTTTTGATGCTTTGCCTAGCCACACTGTGGGGTGTGAACGTGTCATGCCCATGCCCTCTCCCCACGCAGCTCAGCTTCCAGTCCATCTGCTCTCGGCCGGTGATGTCAACGTACCAGCTGCTTCCCAAGAACCAGTCGGCATCCTGCAGGAGGGGCAGGTCCCTTTCCCGGGCATCAGCCTGCTTGCTCTCAGCCGAGCCCTCTTGCCAACCGTGGTGGGTCCCTCGGGGCTCCTGTCTCCCCATCTGAGAAGCAGAGGGCACAACCCTCTTCCAGGCCTGTGATTTTTCAGCGTGGCTCCATCGCAGGGTTCCACATCACGTGCCTACTCTCTGCTGACTGTGGGGAGATGGCCAGGCTTGTTTAGGGAACTGAGCTGGGCCGGGCCCCTACAGCTGACAGAGCGAAGGTGGCCGGGAAGAAAGCAGCCTCCCGGTCGGAAAAATGAAGGCGCTTCTGCTGCTGGTCCTGCCCTGGCTCAGCCCTGCCAACTACATTGACAATGTGGGCAACCTGCATTTCCTGTGCTCAGAACTGTGAGTCCCGCGATCACGCTGCCTGCCTGTGTGTGTGTGTGTGTCGGGTGTGTTGGGGGTAGAACCGGACTCCGTTCCCTGGCTGGTATGTCTGTTTAAAGGAATCAATCCCACATGAGCTAGATGCACTTGACAAAGCACCCAACCAGCCGGCAGTCTCAAGCGGCATGCTTAGGTCTGTAACTTACCAAAGGAAAAAAAAAACAAAAAACAGAAACCACCATCTTACGGATGCCCTGCTTTCCCAGCGAGGCATTTTCTTCCTGCTTCTGTGCCAATGCTGCATTTTGTTTGGTTTGTTGTTGTTTTTTTTTGTTTTTTGGTACCCGACTTTTTCTCAATAGATGTGTCTTCTCTTCCTTCCATAAATAGAACCAAAGAGCAATTAAGAACCAGGCTTGCAGACACAGATCTGCAGCCCCTGTCCTGCATTTCTAGTTGAGAGAAGACAACTCCCTTTATGGAGACACTCAATCTTTGTACCTGAAAACACGGACAGCATCAGCACAGTAGAGCGATCACCCTGTGTGTAAAAAATAAATAAATAAATAATAGATGTCCGCTGGAGTTTGGGGTTTGACCATTTGTAAACGTACGGGCAAGCCGAGAAAACTGCGCAGCGAGCCCCCACATCCCATCACTTTGGTCACACGATGACTGCTTTGCCACGTTTACTTCGTGTATTTTATTCAGGTGGTTTGGAGTAAATGGCAGTCACGACCTTTTGCCCCCAAATACTTCACTGTGCTTCTCGAAGAAAATACAGACATTTTCCTACATGACCGATGTCCATTTTATAAGAGGAAATGACTCACACACCCAAACTCGACCGTGATGTTTTTCTGACTCCTTTTGTTAGTGAGCCTGACAAGAGGATTGCAGGTGAATGTGAACCGTTTCTGGCCAAGGGCTGAGATGTGAAAAGCTCAGTGGATGGGATATAGGTAGAGGTAACCCACCCCCGCCCCCGCCCCTGAGCATGTGGTGATAACCAGGACCTCTTTTGTAATTAGCCAGACTAGCCAATGTGTATAGCATAGTAGATGCTCAATAAATTCTTGATAAACAGAGGAGAGAATAAAGGAGTTAGGTCCTTGGAGACACACAATTCCTTCTGAAGACCCTGCACTTCAGGATTAGCTCGTCCCATCTTTTTGGACTGTAACCCCAGTCCTCAGATAAGAAGGCTCAAAGGCGAAGTATGTGGGCTAAGCCCGAATGGTGAGCATCTCTGGGGTAATAATGGCATATGGAAGCTTTTCTAGAGAAATATACAAGGGCAAGCTCCTTGGGATTGTGGCAAGTCTCCTTCTCCTTTGATGGTGTCTCTAAAATCAGGTGCCACAGCGCCCCTCCTCGGTACCCTTGTCCCCACCTGTTGTCCTTCTTGGCCGCTGTGCTCCTTTCCTAGGGACTGCTGTAGCAGTGACCGCATGTTTGGTAGGTTGAAGCAGCAGAAATATCTTCTCTCTCACCACTGTAGGCGCTCCTGAGCCTCTCCATTAAGTTACTTTCAGTTTTACAGCCTCATTAAAGGAAGGCTCTTCACACTGCCCTATCAGGTTTCTTTGCTACAAGTACGTGAATGGAGGCAACTTTTATGTTGAGTGACTGGACCCAAACAGGCCATTCTTTCCAAGATGTGACGCAGTCCAAGAAGCCTAATGCCAGGAAATTGCCAGAATGGTGTTCCCAGACTAATTTGCCAGAACTTTCTGGAAGCTTCCAGTCCCTGGGCATGACTGATGAGAGAATTCTGTGTAGCTATTACCCAAGGCTACTAGTGTGATAATGAACTAATCGGTAAATTAATGACACATTTCAGGTACTATGGTGGTGCTTTGAGAAATACAGACGGTAAAAAAATTGATATGGTACCAACCCTCAAGGAGCTGACAATCCAACTGAGGAGATGAAATTTATATACTTCAGAAATATTAGCAGTGGGCCAAAGCATAAGGGGAAATAATACATTATATGTTAATCAAAGTAATTAAAAAAGAGAAGTAGGATAGGCAATAAGTTGAGAGGAAGTGGAGTTTGCCCATTTCCATGAAATTGGTCAGGGAATGCTTCTAGGGAAGTTGGCAGTTTGAGCTAGATTTTGAAGTCATTAGGGAAAGAGTAGGCAGAATCACAGATGGGAAGAGAAAGCACTTCAGGCAGGGTAAAGGGCACTCACAGAGGTTGCCAGGTGGCTGTGGTTGTCACCAAAGCTTTGAGAAACGACAATGGAGAGCAGTAAATGGGACTGCTGGATCCCTTCACTGTTCTTGGAAGCTAGGGCCATAGGATGATGGCTGCATGTTCCTGAGATGAAGAGACACTTCTCTCACTACCCTAGACCACTGGGATCTTGAAAGCAGGCAGAGCTGTGTCACTGGAAAGGGCTGGGAAGCCACATTTCCTCCTACCCCACCCTCCCTTCGTCTCAGCTTTGGCACCTTGGCCTTGGGTGAGGTTGACCTGTGTCCACCATGCTCCCAGCTGCAGAGACCCTCCTGGATTTTCCTTCCTCTTTAAGACAAAGGTTCTCTCTGTCTGGGTCCTGTTCCTCAGAGCCCAGCTGGAAAATTGGAACTAATCCCGTAAAAAGCGTCAGTTATATGGTGGAGCCTGGGGTGGCCGCAAACCCAAATGCCTACAGAAACCAGGAAGGAGTTATTTAAGTATGTGAATCATTTAGGTGTAAGACAAAAGGAGCTGGTGAGGCCTCTGAACAACAGCAGTGTGTGTGTGTGTGTGTGTGTGTGTGTGTGTAATTCAAATGTTTTTAGACATTACATATAGTTTAATATATATTATTGTATATGATCTGTATGATACATATTATAGAAGATATGTATAGTGTCTAAAAGCATTCAAATTCAATTTAAAACAAAGCTGCAACACTCCAGCAAATCACTTCTGCCGGCCCAGCTGGGCCTCAGAGTCAACCATTTATGACTGTGGGCATCTCCATTTTTAAACATGTCCATGACCACCTGGTGCCTTGACACAGATAGTGAATTCCACAGGAGCAGCTGAAAATCAGAGCATTTGATGTGGAATCCCAGCCCCTAGGTTAGAGGCAGGGCATCTAGGATTGCTCTCAGGGCCCACAAAGAGCACCCCGTGACCATGAAGGGCCATGCTCTCTTCCCCCATGAACCCTCACCCCCACCTTTCCACAAACTTTCTGAATTTCCTAGACCCCAAAGTGAATGTAGGAAATGGACCCTAGTCTCATAAGCATGAGCATGGGTAGGGCCTTTTCATCCTGGGCTGCGCTACACATGTGGAGACTTATAGGTGAAGTCTTGAGAGCAGCGTGGGTTCTGAGGACCCCTCAGGTGAGAACTGAGGGCTGGGTTTGTTTTACTCAATGCAGATATTTGGGCTCTAAAACCTGCTAAATCAAAAGCATTTGGTAGGGGGCATCTGTTTCCCTTCTGAAGCTCCCAGGTGATCCTTATGGGCCCACCATCTTCATGCTCACCAAGCTCCCCAGGTGATTCTTTTGGGCCCTGCCACAAGAGAACTCTTAGCTCCAGCTCGCATATTCGCTTGCCCTGACTTCCCCCGCAGAGAACAAGCCCTTCACTCTCCAGGTCTGCTCTGTCTCCTCAGCGGTCCCTGTCCTCTACCTGGTGAGTCCTGAGGGAGAGCCTGGGGGATGTTCCCTTCTGCACACCCAACTTATACCCCCGTTGTGCTTCCATGAAACTGGGAGACAGGAATTTGGCTCCTATCTTGGCTAATTGCTACATATACTGCAAGGTCTTCAGAAGAAGACCCTGGTTTGGTTTCTGCGGAAGGGAGCTTGTTGATCTTGCTCATAAGGATTCGAGCCAGCCTCGTCTCTGGCATTGAAGAAAGCAATGGCTTTGATCTCCTCTGTCTTGAGTAATGTCTCTCTGTGTACTTCGTTGAGCAAAAACCTGGGGAAAACCTGGTCTGGTCGCTGGTGAGATGCGTTCTACGGTACACACCCAACTCTCAAGAGCCATTTACAGAAAACTGAAAAGTTTTGTCCTCTACTGCCCCCATCATTACCATTTTTAGCTCCTGTCACGCTCCCAGCACTTCTCACTTCCACTTCCCGTGTGTCTGGGTGCTGCGTTCACGCCCATGGTGGAAGTCTGAGTGCGTCCTGGGTCCCGCCTTGCAAAGCACGAAACTGCCCTTTGCTTTAGAGCTACAGGTGGCCAGAAGACAGAGAGGCACAGTCACCACAGGATGGCCAGTCTCCAAAGCCAATGCCGCTGCCATTGTGACTCCTCGGGAAGTCAGGAAATGGATGTCATTACAGTCTGTAGCCAAATATTTTTGGTTTGTAAGTGGCCTATCTGTGAACAGTGTTTGTGCCAGTATCTGGAGGGAGAAACTCCACTCTGACCCCTGTAGAGACAGCAGTTCCAAGCAGGGAAGGTTTATTCCCCCTGGAATTCTGTGTGCGGGGAGGGGGGGAAATTAAGATGAGTGACTCCAATTTCATAATTGGAACCATTGAGGGCTACGGACAAATGAGGTCTCCTGGAGGAGCTGCCAAGAGCAGCAGGAGCTCTGTGACAGCCTCGTGTGTGTCCTCCCTGGGAGGTGGGGTAGGGCTCAGGCTTCAGAGATGCAGAACACCCACCGAGTGTCTTAGGTCCAAGGACTCCAACCACCCACCGTCTCTGTAGTGGAACTTTCTCCAACCAACCTGCAAAACACACTTTCCGACAAACTGCATCACCTTCCTGCAGCAAAAACCTTCACTTTGGGGCTTGCAGGCCAAAGAGCATCTTAAGTCACTCCTAGCTCGGCATTCCAGGCACTCCAGTGAGGATCGCTGGCCTCTGTGTTGTGTGGCACTCATTTGGCCCTGGTCCAGTTTCTCGGGTTCTCATTCTCTAGGTCAAGGCTCTGCAGCAGCATAGGCCCTAGTAACTTCTCTGCTCCCTGCTGACTTCAGCTAGCTGTGGGCTGGGTATTGGGTCCTGTGCCGCATAGCCTGGGAGAACATCGTCTTCAAAAGC